AACCCAAGCAGGGCTCTGAGTGCCAGATCTCATTTGGTAGTAACTTTCAAAGGCCTCAGAGATGTAGCTCTGATATTCCTTTTCCTTCCTGGGCAAATCTTGTCACTGCCAGCCAAGAGCATCCACTGGTATCAGTGGGTGAAGGGCCTCTCTAGGTGACCTGCTCATCTGGGATGGGAGGGAGCTGGAGGAAATTTCTGCAAAGACATGAAAATGGGCACAGGACCTGATAAAGAGCTTGGATATGATGCTAGAAATGACGGCCACTCCCACATCTTCTTAAAGCTGGAATGCTTTTTTTTTCAAAAAAACTTTTTTTTTTTTTGAGATGGAGTTTCACTGGAATTTCACTTTTGTTGCTCAGGCTGGAGTGGAATGGTGCAATCTTGGCTCACCGCAACTTCTGCCTCCCAGATTCAAGCGATTCTCCTGCCTCAGCCTCCCAAGTAGCTGGGATTATAGGCGCCCACCACCACACCCAGCTAATTTTGTATTTTTAGTAGAGATGGGGTTTCTCCATGTTGGTCAGGCTGGTCTCGAACTCCTCACCTCAGGAGATCCGCCCAACATGTTGCAAGTACTAAAGTCCTACTTCTAGCTGGGATTTCTGGATGAGCACTTGAGGCAGCTACCCAGTGCTGCTTCATTTTGACAAGGTGTTTTCAGTCACCTTGCAGACAGACTTTGGATAGTTTTCCCTCTCTTTCCATTTGGTTGAGTGCAAATAGCACTTTTCTAATGTTAGCATCACAGCGGACTGTGCTGAGCACTGGGGGCTTAAAGTCCTGGATCTAACATATTATTATACTTAATCTCTCAGCAGCTCAGTTTCCCATAAGTAGAGAAAGATGACGATAATAATACCTTCCTCATAAAGTATAGTACTAAGAATAATGGGCCATCTAAAAATATTCACAGCCGAATCCCCAGAACCTGTGAATACGTTATTATCCATGGCAAAGGGGACACTGCAGAGGTGATTACACTAAGGATTTTGAGATGGGGGAATTATACTGGATTATCCAGGTGGGCCCAAGGTAATCACAAGGGTCCTTATCAAAGGCAGCTAGGGGCTACATGGTGGCTCATGCCTGTCATCCCAGTACTTGGGGAGGCCAACGGAGGAGGATCACTTGAGGCCAGGAGTTTGAGACCAACCTGGGCAACACAGCAAGACCCCACATCTACAAAAAATTTTAAAAATTAGCCAGACTTGGTGGCACATGCCTGTAGTCCTAACTACTCAGGAGGCTGAGATGGGAAGATCCCTTGAGCCCAGGTGTAGGAGGCTGCAGTGAGCTATGATTGTGCCACTGCACTGCAGCCTGGGTGACAGAGTGTGACCTTGTCTCAAAAAAAAAGGAAGGTAGAAAGGTCAGAAAGAGATTGGAAGATGCTACATGTCTGGCTTTATAGCCACAAAGTCTATTTAAATAGACTAAATAGATAGAATTTGTCCTACAAAGTCAGATGTCTAGCCCCTACCTAAATAGACTTTGTAGGCAGAATCTATTTAGGTAGGAAGAGGGAAACTAGAGAAAAATAAACAGAAAATGTCTCATCCTGTTCTCAACCCTGTATGATTTTTTTAAACAGGAGTACAGCTTGTCTCACACATAGCATAAACCTCAGAACTCTGAGTATTAAGATGGTCTTGTTGTATAACGTTTTCAACAGATACTCTTTTGCAGATGGTTTCGAAGACTGTGGCACAGCCATGATGGCTATTAGATGAATTAATTTAAAGATATACATGGCCAAGTTTTGGGGCTTGAGGGCTTTATTTTAAAATTTCATTAAAATTCTTAATTGCTTACAGTTATATTTCATCTTAAGTCAGTATAATTTAGTTTAGATATGCAACTGGCATTTTTTCCATGGGTGTCTTTGATACCTCTCCAGGAACTTTGCTTTCAGAGAACTAACCACAGTTGAACTCATATAATAATGCATTCTCCTTTCCTTTTCTCTCTCTCTCTCTTTTTTTTTAAGATGCAGTCTCACTATGTTGCCCAGGCTAGATTCAAACTCCTGGGCTCACAGGATCCTTCCGTCTCAACCTCCCAAGTATCTGGGATTACAGGCATGAGCTATGGCACCTGACTCCTTTCCTTTTCTCTTAATAGTACGTTCTTTATAATTTCCATTGAATTTAATTTGTACTGTTTTCCTAATTCTCCTATAAAAGTTTTATCTTCCTGCTAATCCTTTTTCCCTTTTTTTTTCAGTGTTTATCACAATGTGTAAGAATGGAACTATTTATATGTTTATTTCTCTAAGGCTTGTCTCTTTTTCTAGCTTGTAAACTCCAGGACAGCAGGGATAACATCTGTTCAACACTCTATACCCACAGCCTAGTGCACAGTGGTCACTTATCAAGCACTGCCCAATAAATAGACAGATAAATTTGCTTTTGAAGAAAAATACCAATCAGAATTTATAGTAATGTAGACATTTGACCTCCCCTGCATAATGTTGCCTTTAGATCCATAGGTTTTGTGAAAGCTCACAGAGTACAGAGCATAAATGATGAGCAATTTAAACCTCAGACTAAATCCATGTCATTACAAGTTAGACTTCTTACTGCATATGAAATTTTACCCTTCTGTGATACAGAATTTTTGTTTTGAAGTTTGAAAAGGGATTAACTCTTGCTAAGAAGAAGGTGACAGATTTTGTTACACTAGAAAGCCAGAATGCACCACCCCACCACCCCCAATACCAGCAAAGAAAAAAAAATCTCTAAAGCAAACCTTTCTGGAAACTGTAGGAAATAAGATTAATAAAGTATAAGTGCAGTGAATGTACCAAAACTCTGTTAATAGCATTTTTCTCACTGATTTCTAAAAAGCAAACGAAAAAGAGATAATTATTTAATCCTATAGGCTTTCTCTATTGTTACAGATTGATCAAATCTTTTTTTTTTAAAATAAGCTATTCACTACATCTTTTCTTGCTTTCTAAATCTTGTCTCACTGGATGTATTAGAATGAGGGAGAAACAAATAGAACAAACCAAAGTTATGGAGAAAGTATGTGTGTGAACTTTATTTCATTATGAGAAAATTACTTCTGTGCAGTAACAGAGAATACTGATATCTATATGATGATAGGCTTTTCTTTGTATTCAGATACATACCTTATATTTGTACACAATATATAAAATTCATGGAGGAAATTAATTTCTACAGTACAGTTTCTTTGTTGGAAGAGAACTTGTTCCGTTTGTTTCATCTAGAAAATGACCCCAGTTCTGTGACTGTGGTACCAAGGATCGCAGTTCCAATCCTGTAATTTATTAAATTAGACACCATAATCTTATGAACATTAAGATAAACTGAGGCGCTACATCCTCCTGCAGGATGAAACGAGAGACATAAGTGCTCAGGCTGTTATGCTAATAACTGATTTTTAGCAGAATAGTATGATTCCCATGATGTATTATGAATAGAAATAGTTTTCCCGTAGATCTGATAACACATATTAGCAACATTGCTACAAATTTCTCTCTGCTCTGCAGGCATGCACTTCACTCTTCAATCAAACCACCTTGTACACACATGGGAAATGAGGCCATCACCAGCAAGGGCCTTCTGCATTGCATCTAGGAAAGACTCTTGGAGGGCTTTAGCAGTTAGCATGGTATTTTGAGAAAAGAGGCAACTGCTCTCAAACTGATAGGTCCTCCCTGAGAGAAGTTGCTAAAATGATAATTCTGGGGGAAGCTGTAGCTGCCACATCACTGTACTCCAAACAGGAACAGGTCATGTGGGCATTTTCCCTCAGCATATCCTTCTCTTGGAATAGCATCATTTAGACTGACAACTGCTCCCCAAAGCACTGTTTTCATGGCTAGGGGCCTTTCATCCTTGCTGTGGGATTCAAAATTGTGCTTGTTTTTAACCATGTGAAGCATTTTAGGGTGACTGGCACATGTTGAGGTTTGTGGGAAGTGGGAAAAAACACCACCATAGTTCTTTTAGCTAACATCTTGAACTTGAACAAAATCAACATAATTAGTTCTGCAGAGGGAAGTTATGGAGAATCCTGGTGAAGTGGCGGGTGACTTCTTTGATTAAAATGACACCCCAAAGTGTCAGAATGCTTTGGCACCAGCCACAAATACCTCTTTGTAGGTTTAATTTCATGTGTCTTGTTTACTCTTAACATGAAAATGTTAAAAGCCTCAGAGGTTGTATCTGGTCATCAAATTCAAGCCTCTTATCTGAGACACATTACATGTCTCTGATGACCAAAATATTTAAAGTATAGCTAAGAAGCAAAAATTCTCTAGAGATGAACTTTGTACGGTGGCTCTAGGCAGCCTAGCCAAGATTGGAGGGGCTGGCAAAGATGAAAATGGTGGGTAATGCGAAGTTGCTGGTCTCTTCCTGTTTGGTGCCACAGGAAGTCTCAATCCTGGTGCTGACGGCCTCAGTTTTGGGTATGAAACGGAGGCGGTCTAAGTGGGTAAGCCAGGAGCGGCCAACAGACTCTCTCTGAACAGCTCTAGCACCCCACACCCATTTGAAACACATTCAGTCATACAAATCCACAGCTGGAAAGAACCTAGGTCCCACCCTCAGAACAAGCAAGTACTACAGAGTAACTTAGAATAATCTGGGCAAAACTGGCACATGATGTGTATTGGTGGAGAATGGGAGCCTGCTCTAGAGCCTAGATACATTCGTCTTACACACCGGGGGCACATTCAGGCCTTCATTTTTCAGCTTCTTCAACTGCAGCTTAGTTAGAGTGTTATCAAAGGAAGCCGCCGGCCCAAGCCATTTGAACTGCCGATGTGGAATCTTTGGTTTGATCACATCCACATACCATAGGCTCTCTAAAGGCAGGAGAGGAACAGCGGCTCTGTGCAGAATGCAGAGCGAGTCATGGAAACACTGCAGGAATGTGGGCAGTGGTGGGGTTACCTCCGGGCTTGCCAGCCACTTTAGATGCCACGCAGTTCTCGCTCTGAGGGATACTGCTGAAGGGCCTTACCCTCAGACGTTTGGAGGACCAGGGTCTTGCTGTACGGGCTGACTCCTGTTTTGTTGAAGGCCTTGACCCGAGCGTTGTATGTGCTGTTGAAGTGAAGACCATCCACAGTGCACATCGTCTCTTTCCCCACATACACCTCCTGAGAGTCAGCAAAGAACAGGACAGCACTTAGCCTGCAACCTTTTGAGGGGCGAAGAAGGCAGTGTCGCTCAGTGGTTAGGAGCAAGAGCCCTGGTGTCATTCTAATCTGGATTTGAATCCTGTGAGATATTGGGCCACTTAATTTACCTTTTTAGCCTCAGTCTCCTAATCTGTAAAATGAGATAACAATATCCACCCTATGAGGTTGGTGTGAGGATTACTTAATGTTGTATATGCAGATTAGCATCATGCCTTGTATTTAGCATGGGCCAGGCAGCTAATGAATGGTCGTTATTAGCAGCTAGGGCTTAAAAAAAATAAAACTGAGAGCTTATAGTTCAGATTACACTTATTAACTTGGCATTGATACAGTATATGACCCCTACTGAGCTCCTTATCCATAGTATGGTTTGTAAAAAACATGTTTGAAACCATGAAAACAGGAAGGTGGTCTCTGTCCTATGTTTAGAACTCCTCTGATGACTTCAGAACTGTCACAAAGATTACACTCCAAGCCACAGGGGGATAGATTTTCATCACAGTACAGAGGGAAGGCGGAGGAAACAGGGAAAGGAGGAAGAATGACATTTCAAAGGCTTAAAATAAATCCTAGCATAATGTGTCTTTAGCATAGGTTAGGCATTTGCCTCCCTCTTCAGCTGTACACACTGCAAAATTATGCTGATGTAATGAATAAAAATAATTTGCATTCAAAACACAGCCTTAAAATGACAACTCTCTGGTAGGATACTAAGAAGACCGGGATCTTGGATCGCCCATCAATTCATTACTCCTGCTGGAATAACAAAAATCAGAATATTATGCCCTCTCATTCAGTGCATCTCAAACTTTACGTGCATATGAATCACCTGAGGATCTTGTAAAAATGCAGTTGCTGATCCAGTAGGTGTCTGGGGTGGGGTCTGGGATTTTGCATTTTTAACAAGTTCCCAGGTGAAACCAATGCTGCTGGGGGAGGACCGCACTTTGAGTAGAGGAAAAAGTCAAGACAAAATAAGAGAATTAATTTATTTAAAGAATTGGGAAAACCAGGAGAGTTACTTTCCCAGGAGAAAAAAAAAAGATAATAAATGGCAAAGAAATGCTCTGAAAATGACACAGGAACTGAAAAGGCAAAGTCAGGAATGAGAAACCGACAAATAGACAGGATTTTACACACATACAACATACACTGCAAAAGACATGAAATGGAACCTGAGGCCCTTATCTTGGAAAGAAAGAAATTAGATTTTATCATGCCAATAAATCAACATATATGTAAATAAGGCTTCTCTATCAAAAGAGAGAACCTTTGTCCTTGAGAACTGTAGAAGACACGGTCCCTGCTCTCAAGTACTTAAACCTACTGGGGATCAAAAACACATTCAGGAAAAGGGGGCCTTGAGAGGCTTTGCTCTTGAAAGCTAGTGGCCCAGGTTTGGCCATTGGTGACCAGAAGAAAGCCTCATCCTCATGGGCCTGAGGTTTTTTTAGATAGGGTCTCCTCTTCTTCAGTGCAGGAACTGGCCTCAGTCCCCAGAAGGGCTGCTCCCTTGGGAAGCTCCAAGCATCAGAACTTCCAGGCAAGACTAGGGTGGAGAGGATGGAAAGTAAGGTGGCAGGGAAAGGATGCATGAGAATGAAACTCTGTATGAGAGAGAAGCAGACACATGCCAACAGGTGGTGGCACATGAATCATCAACCTGGAGGTACCACAGCCGTGTCTTACCAGGAGGCCATTCTGTCCTGCCTTCAGAGGGCAGCATGCAGCATGACCTTCTCAATGGGGATAGGGCTCCCTTGCCTTGGGAAGGTAGCAATCTTCTGGTACCAGTTCTATCTGGTGAAAGGCCCAGAATAAAACTACAGAACTGGGGAAACCTTTGCTAGAAAGGCTTCTTAGAATAGGGAAGCTGTAACAGGAGATCATGTCAATTAAGAGGAATGCCAATCAAAGACATTAGAAGCTGTGGATTGTAGAAATAAATCTTGGACAACGGTTAATTATATTATTAGCAATAAGCAATGATGGTAATAATAATAGCTAATAATGCACACTTGCCATGTTCTAGGCAGCACGCTAAGAATTTTGTATGAATTATCTAATGGACTCTTAGCAACAAGGCATGAGATTCACGCTATTGTTATCATCCCTCTCGTTAATAAATGAGGACCTGAAGACTCAAAGGGGTGATAATTAGGCATTGTCCACATAGCTAGGGTGGAGGAGACCAACTTGAATGCAGGCAGTGTGACTCCAGTACTGCATGTCCTGTCTCTTAAGAAGGGTAGGGCAGTTTCAGAGACTGCTCCATCCACCTTCATGGTAGAGGGAGAAAGCAGGCTTCAGGTATGGCCTGTCCCCGGGAGAGACGGGGAAGCCTGAGACTCCCTGGCAGGTCCTCTGACAGATCACTGGTTTGGGTTAACAAGTACGTAGTGGGCTCTCTACTGACCCGGAACTGACCACCGTTGCCGTCATCCAGCTCCAGAATGTATCCATCGGCGGGCACCGTGGACAGAGGTGGCTGTTTCCAGGACAACGTAGCGCTGTTGTTGTGGGTACAACATTCCTCCAGCTGTAGGATAGGGGTTGCTGGGACTGGAGAGGAAGCTAAACAGAAATTAGTGTAACTGGCTTCTGTTAAGCTGCAGATATTCCAGTATCTTAGAATGACAAACATCCCCCTGATAAACACGTGGTTAGAAGTAGCCAGCCTGGGGTGCACAAGGGAACTGAACAGAATCCTTCACAGAGTCCCCAGGAGTCAGACTGGCTCCTGATTTGCGGTTAGGCCATTTCCTAAGCACACAGTGGCCCTTCCCACCTTCATTGTGGCTGTTGGAGGGGAGACAGGCCGATTCACAGAACTGCTCTGTTCTCATCTCCTTGAGCACTGAAGACATTATCCCTAAAGGAAATGTTTACATGGAGGCTGGGTTTCCAGTCCAACTCACTAAAGCCCATTTAACTCATAATGTGCCTGAAGCTGTGCTAATTATTTTATCATAAAACTTATTCTGAGATTTAAACCCAAGTTAATAAACCAGAGACTGCCTATTCTGAGAAATAGCTCTGAAACCACTACATTTCCAATATTCTATCATTTTTTTTTTAAAACCAGTGATTCTACTCCAGGTCTTGTGCACGTAAGTAGCTACAACAGTGGATTTTTGAAAATTTGGTTCCCAGTGAGATCACAGTGATCTTTCCATTTCAAAACTTCCAAGGGACGTGACGTCATTATCTCAAGGTAGCTATACCTCAAAAACAGCACTAGGTCAAGTTGACTCATTTTCAGGTATAGCACACCCACTGTGAGCCTGGCATGTGGATTAGGGGCCTGGAGCATGACGAGGAGGCTCAAGATGTCTTTGCAGCCGCGTGAGAGTCTGTCATGCTGTTACGAGTCATAACAGCCCCCTCCACATTTTATACTGTGACTCTTTTCTAGTACTTAAAACTGCAAATTAGTTGAGCCTTCAGACACACATAGAAATATTAGTTACTGAATAATCCCAGTTCTTCATATATAAACTTAATATATGCACTTGGGAACCATGGTTTATTTTTATTTTATTTATTTATTTATTTTGAGACAGAGTCTTGCTCTGTTGCCCAGGCTGGAGGGCAGTGGCGAGATCTCAGCTCACTGTAAGCTCTGCCTCCCGGGTTCACACCATTCTTCTGTCTCAGCCTCCTGAGTAGCTGGGACTACAGGCGCCCGCCACCATGCCCGGCTAATGTTTGTGTGTGTGTGTGTGTGTGTGTGTGTGTGTGTGTGTGTTTAGTAGAGATGGGGTTTCACCGTGTTAGCCAGGATGGTCTCAATCTCCTGACCTCGTGATCCACCCACCTCAGCCTCCCAAAGTGCTGGGATTACAGGTGTGAGCCACCGCGCCTGGCCGGGAGCCATGTTTTTACTAACTGTTTAAAAAATTTTTTTCAGCACCAAAACATTGATTTATTATTGTTATTATGTTAGCACTTTAATAACAGGAGAGAACAGCTTGGACCATATCCAGGGACATTTAGATGAACAAATGTTCATCATGGAACACCTGGTATGCTGTACCAAAATTGGACTCTGTGTCTTGTGCACTGACTTAAATCTATGCCTTGTCAGTCATCCCAACCAAAACAGTGTTTAATTTTACAGCAGTTTAGAAAACAGGTTCTATGGTAGATAATCTAGAAAACAAAAGCAGCGACTGTAACATATGAAATGCAAAGGTGAAGCTGATCAATTGTCTTATACTTAAGAAAAGACTGTAGACACTACAATAAAATCATGTCTGAGCTACTAAATCAAACACAGCTAAATCAAAATTCATGCCTGTTAAAACTGCAGGCAATCGGTTTAGGAGAAGAAATCATGTTTCAAGTTTCAATGGCACAGGATTTGGGTGAAATCTCATCAAAGAGCTACAGCTACTGCAGGCTCAGAAGCCCCAGAAATCCATATTTGGAGAAAAGGAAATAAACTCATTGTCTTGCTCACTAAATAAACTACAGGACTGGTTGGAAAGAGATGGACACAGAAGACATAACTCCTTTCAATGAGAGTATCTAAATATAAATAGGCATCACCCAGGAGTTGTAACTACAGGATTAATTTTAGGTCATTTTAATTACTAGGGACTTTCCTTTTTATTTAAAATTTGTTTCCTTTATTAAAATGCATTTTTAACATATTTACTATGGAAGAAAAATATAACAGGTTTAGGGAAACCATTCTTCAAAGGGCTTGTGGAGACATGAATGATTCCCCCCAGGGGGTATTTATTCTTAACTGTCCTTATTAGTTAGTGCCCACCATGAAACGATTCCTTATGCTCTTATTTCATTAGCTCCATATTAGTCTTTCTTTTTCCCTTTGTTCATGTTTCAGGCAAGTCTGCATTTCATCAATTACAAAAATCAAAGAGTAAGATCACAGATGGTTTCAACTTAAATCATGCAAATGCTTACAACGTCTCTGATAAGAAACTCAAATGTACCTGTGTAGCCATAGGTATAATTAAAAGAGTAACTGAAATACATGATGTCATGTGTAATTAAAACATCAGAACCTAATTTATAAGTCCTTGGTGGATACAGTTTAAAAGACCAAAAGAATATAAAAAAGGCTAGACTCAATAATCTTCAGATCTTGATATTGTCCCAGATTTAGACAAATTAGCAAATGGACAAAAAGGCAAAGGGAGTGGAGAGGAAAAAAAACACAGAACTAACCCAGAGATATTTGCATCTGTCTAAATTTATTCCTCCATGTGCTGAGAATTAGTTTTCCCTTTTCCTTATTTACCCCCAGTGATGCTGTACATAAAAGGTAAATGTGCCAAAATTACAGCCTCATTAGCAGAGACTCAGGCTGACATTCTAGAAAAATATATTTTATAGTGGGTGTTATGTTATCCTATTTAACTTCATTAGGCACAAAATCAATGGTCTACTAGAAATCCAAAGTACTTTCCAATTAATCTATCTTTTATGATTCAGAAAAGGATAGCATTACAGTTTCTGCACTAAAATCTAAGGAAGAGCATTGTATTTTACTGAAACTCCTGTTATTGGGGCTTTCCTAGCTATCTTGATTTTTACACTTTCATGATCATTCTGGGGCAGCTGTTGTTCTCTCCTTAAGAATGAATTTCTCCTGACCTGATCAGGGTTCTAGCATTCATCCTTCTTTTAGCCTGTAAAATCAAGCTTTAGGCTAAAAATTCTCCTCTTAAAATACAAGGGGGCAGCTATTCTTACTAACTTCCTTGAAGAGGTCTGGCAGAACTGCGGTTCAAAATTAAATTTTCCAGCATCATCTTCTTATATCAATGTTTTCAAATGTCTTCCCTTTTTATTTCAAATTCTATCTCACATTTTGTTTATTTATTTATTTTTTTTTCACGAATCCTTCAGATTGTGAACACTCACAACCATCCAGAATTCCTCTGTGAAAGTACACAGGAGTGTGGCGGGGAGAAGTGAGAAGAGAAGCTGGGTTCCCGACCTCAACAGGGAACACTAATCATCAGGGATGCTTTCAAGCACTTTACTGAATGCTAGAGAATGTGGTGAGAGGTTTACAGGTATTCACTCATTTAATTTTCACAACAATCCTAGAAAGAAGATATTGCTACTATCTTTATTGTGCAGCTGAGGAAATGGAAGCACAGTAAGGTTTTATAGCTAGTAAGTGGCAGGACTGGCATCTGAAACCAAGGAGCCTGGCTCTGGAGGCTGTATGCTTAGCATTGCATCATACTGCCCCTCTCCAGTCCAGTGTCTAGAAATAGTGTACTGGAGGAAAGCCTCCATGTCTAATTCCCAAAGTTTCTTTCTGTTTCCTATAATGTGAACAATAAAGATTCCCCAAATAAAGATTCTACCTTCACAACTATGGTGGTTGGGAATGCAATTTTACTGCGTTATCTTCTCTGAAGGCTCATTTGTAGACTGGCATTCCTCTTTACGTGGCTGAACAATACAAATGGCATCTGAGAAAAGTTTAGACTTTAGAAGAACTACAAGCTGTTTCTGGAAAGCTATTATCGGTACACTGTTAAAGATAACCCTGAACGCATGTTTTGAGTCCATGCATTTCAGGCTATCAGCACGAACAGATTACCTGCAAGCGTGTGTGCTCATTCCTTCCCCGCTAACCCTCTGGCAGCTTTCCCCCTATGATTTATAGGAGACTCTATTCAGATCACACTGTCCTTGCCCATGACCTTGGTGCATACTCAGGGCTTATATTCAACTTGTGTCAATAAAAATAAATACACCCTTACGTGAGTAGAGACACTTAAAGGGATTAACAGCCAGTGGTCTATGTGCTAAAAAGGCTTGGTGAACTGTTAGGTCATTGTTTCATCCTAGTTCAGAATGAACAAACTGGCATTTCATTTCAGTACCATGACTCATGAATTTTGGGATTCTTTGTGTACTTAACCAATTTTGGGTTAATATTTATTGGGGGAGGAAGTAGGTATCTGAAATCTATTCTCAACCAAACAGTAAAGCCCTTGGCTGACTAAGAAGAGACTTAAAATTTCCTTCCTATAACCTGGAAAAGAGCTGATTATACAACCTTAGAATTAAGTGGAAAATGTTTTTAAAATTACTCTCTAATAAAAATAAAAGACAAAGCTTAATATGTTGTTTTCTATAAAAGAAAAGTCTAAAAGATCAAACGCCACTTCCAGTATTCTGGAAAGAGGGTAAGATGATTTTCTAATCAAAATAAAACCAGAAAATGTGCCATTACAATTTAGGGATATTTGAAAAAAGGTACCAAATAGATCTCCATTGCTTGAGGGTGGTGTGGAATCAGAATGGGCCAGTTAAATCCTTAGCTAACAAGAGAGTAAAACTTTAGATAGTGCATTCTTGCTGAATAGCAGCTGGTCTGAGTGTAAATATGTAAAAGCCAACTGTAAACCTACTTTCTTTGGTATCAACAACAACAATGGCAACAACAATGGCATTTATGATGAGCTTTTGAAACCAGAGATGTTTGATAAAATTCTGAGTCAAGAAGTAAACAGATATTTTAGTTATCATTTTGAGTCAGATCTTTAAATGCATACTTTAAGTGAATTTGAAAATATTTTAACTTCCTCCTGTAATCAACTTAGCACAATTGGAAAATATATATTGAATTACACATATTGTTAGTTTCACAAAGGACAGATTACTTTAACACCACTCCAAATGCTACGGTCTTTGAGGTGCAGTTTCTTGACGTATTTTTTACTGACAAGTTGTGAAAGTGCAGTTTATTAAACTGACTAAGAATATCTTTAAAAAAATGAAAAGATTAACACCACAACAGGAAGAGTTGTGTATATATTAACAGATATTACAGAGGCCAATAGAAGTCTGAACTCCAGCCAATCAAGTTCTATTGTGTCATGACCTTTGGCTTTTTCTTTCCATCACAAGCATCTGACAGATGAAAATTATTCAGATTCTAAAGAAGACTAGGCTCTCACTGAATTAATTAAACTCAGTGAGCACAAAGCAAAGCATATAAATTAACCAGGCAAAGTGACAATAATCAGAAGTAAATTAAATTAGACAAAGTGTTAAAAAGAAAATGAAAATGGAAGACTATAATCCAGTATTATACCAAATGGCCTGTTAGGTTAACTTCGTGAATCATTGTTCTGGTTGTTGTGTGGTTTCAGATGGATTTGTGCTGGGAGAGTGTTCTGCGTTTTGGCCCTGAGAGTACTTGGTATTCTCTGCTGTGTGTGCAGACTTGAACAGACTGGACAAACAGCCTTGTCCCTCTTACTTTTGTGTGCAGTCCTAAGTGGCCAAGTGACAGTGCTTTAGAAATGTGGTCTGTGATGCAGAGAGCATGAACTCGCAGTTCCCATACCCAGTGAAGGGCCTGTTCACTCCAGCTCAATCTTTACCATCCTGCCAACTGGCCTGGACTCCACCGTGGGCAGATGGACATGACTCAGGAGGGCAATGAATGGGGGAGGAGAGGGTTTTGACAGCTGATTAAAGCATTTCAAAGCCCTGAGGCTTTTACCCTCTAACTGCCCCCTCCTCCTGCCCCTCACCAAGGCTAATTGGGTTAGCTCATTTTTTCCTCTACCACCAAAAGTCTTTCTATTGCTCTTTTGTGACATATTTTTTCCTCCAAGTTACTTGTGACATACCTTTCAGTGATTTTTATCTCACTGAAAGAATTGAGAACAGAGAGAGGCTGATCCAGGGGGATTTATCTGGGGCTCTATATTTTATTAAGGATGGGTTTATTTTACAGGCTACCACATTGGTATTAAAAATATTTTTTTAAACAGCAAGAAAGAATTGCTGCAACAAAAATGTAGATTTGTTAATATTAAGAGATGAATTCACTTATTCTTTGAAGAAGCTGCTTAGTGTGGCACCAGCTTTACAGCACAAACTAGAAGTTGTAGGAGCTGATTCTCTACCCATGCTCCCTGACTTTGAATCCTGGCCTTGCCACTCACTAGCTGTGTGAGCTCAGACAAGTAACCAGTCTTCCTGTGCCCCAGTTTCTTCAACTGTCTACTAGGGTTACGAGAATAAAATGAGCTATACGTAAAACACTTCGGAGAATGTCTGGTTTGGTTAGCACTCAATAAATGTTAAACATTTTTCTTACTGTAACAAAGCACACTTATTTCCAATCTATGCACTACTTCAAAAATTTATGAAGGCATCTTCCCAAGGCAACACATATTAAACCCAAAAAAAGGAGAAAGTTCAAAATAAAAGAGAGCAAAAATCCATTAAAAGGCTGAGAGACGTATACGTACCAAGTACAGGAACACATTTAACTGCCTGATGTGGACCCTAAGTAGACAGCCCTAAAACTTACTGATTTATATAATCTCTCTTTGATAAAAGGATGCAGGTATATTTTTCTTAAGAAACAAAACTTTTAAAGCACTGAATGCTAAGAGTCATTTACTACTTGGATGCTTAAATCAGGAGTTGCAAAGAGCAAATCAATTTCAATTTAAAAAATCAGCAAATGACAAAACTATAGAGATGGAGAAAAGATTAGGGGTTTCCAGAGATTAGAGGTGGTGGAGGGGAGGGGTATGACTTTAGAGGTGTGACAGGAGGGAGATCTTCGTGGTGATGAAACAGTTCTGTATCCCGATGCAGTGGCGATTATATGAATCTGTACATAGGATAAGATGGCATAGAACTATACACACACACTTTTCAGTGTCAACTTCCTGGCTTTGATATTATATTATAGCTACAAGATGTAACCATCAACGGAAGCTGGGTAGAGGGTGAATAAAACTTCTTACTATTTTCGTAACTTCTTGTGTATTTCAAAACAAAAAGTTAAAAAGAAATATTTTTCAAATGGGTATTACTTACACTGCCATAAAAATGCTGTTGCATGGTTGGCTTGATTTGTTATTTTTCTTTGAAAGAGTTGTTTTCCTTAAAATATTTTCAGCCCCCACCCAAAATCTCAAAGAGATCTTGCCATATCCCTTAATCATATAATCTAATTTTAAAGTTTATATTAAATTTCCATTTTCCTTCCAGGCTTGCGTTTTTCTGCCAGTATTGGCAGGCCAACTGTGATCCTCTCAAATTCCCACTGATCCATGCTCAACCATTTGCTTACTATCTCTATCCATGTGGAAGCAGTCATTTCAATTCTGGACTCCTCCGATTTATATCAATATTTCTGGATTCCTTTCTGTACCAAGATTTTATTTATGTATAGTGATGATCTCTTTCTCTCTCTGCCTTCCTCTTTTCATGTCAGCTGTTCTCTGGTGCTGAACACTTGAAATCTCTTAAGACTCTCAAAGAGGCAAGCATTGAGTTGATCTGAATTTATCCAGCTTGCTGAAAGGTAGGTCACACATTTATAAAGAGACATTTTCATTACATAAGTTAGGAGCCACTCCAGATTCTTGTAACATTAGCCAAAGGGGTACTGATCCTGCTTCAAGCACCAGCATCCACTCAGGATGTTGCTTTCTGACTTGGGGGATGCAAGGACATACCTTTCACCTGCACGAAGTCGAGCTGGTGGATGGATTGCAGCAGAGGGCTGTTGTCCAGACTCAAGTCAAAGTCCGTGGTCATCCTTGGAGTGAGTGTGCCTTTACCCCACTGATCCTCAGTCAGGTGCACTCTCCTTATAAGGGCGTCAGAAATCTAATCAGATAAAAAAGACCACAGCCTAAGAAATACACCACCACAGTCAAAACACAACACTGCCCCTTGGCTCTCCAGGAGCGTTACTCCCAAAATGCCTTGAGAACTCATACCCTGACTGCTTCAGTGCAGTTGGTGAGGAACACCCCATTAGGACTAGGGTGACTCATAATTTATCAAGCAAATCTGAACACTTTTGTGAGTCGGGGGGCACTATAAGAAATTAGAAGGTGTTAACTGATTTAATAGACAAATCTGAATATATGATCATGCTATTTATGATAGATTTACTAAATGCCAACAACTTTAAAGGATGATATGTTGGAAACTAGTTAATTTCTATTAGAATCAGTAGCTCAACCCTTCTAATTTAAAGTGTGGGTATCCTATCAAGACTTGGAAATGAGTTTCATAAAATAGTTTAGTGAGGGTGCAGATGGAATTTCTCACAATTTAAGCACATCACCTTCATGTGATTATCACTGTATTCTTTGGTAGAAAGCTCTTTCATTTCTTATACTCAATCTCTCTCTGTCACTCTTGGCCAGTTTAGTAGAGTGTGACTTGGAAGAGATCTACATGTTCCTTAACAAAATGTTCCTTATAATTGGGATCAAAGCTTAAGTAAAATCCAGCTTACACCATAGCATCTCACTAAAACAATTAACACTGAAGAATAAGAAATCTCTGCATTTGAGAAATCACTGACTTTCTGGCCAGTAGAAGGTGTCAAGAAGGTAGACATCTTACAAACTTAGACACTTAGACATCTGACAAAACTGTCCAAGAGATATTAATGAATAAGGACCGAATTCTTGGGCAAGGCAATAACTCCACTTCGAAAGAACTTACAGATAATTATGTTTTCATGATTAAACACAAGAATAAAAAGAAGCAAAAAAGAAAAAAAAGGCCATGCACCTCTCAAACTTGTAGTACATGGTAGCAGTGACTTCTGGGAAGTCAGTGGAGTTTATTTAGCAGGCACTTCCGTGTACACTGCAGTGTGAAGGTAGGTTCTGTTACTGAGGGACCCAGGCCCAGCCAGGGCTGTTGGAAGTCTGACTTAAGCATCCTAGACTATGTCCTATGGGACATTTAGAATCTGAAGCAGAAACTAGTTAACTCTTACCTGCAAAAAGCCACTAGGATCATTTTCCTTAATCACCTCCAAGCAGTACTCCATGAGACCTGTGGTCTGGCGCAATTTCACTGTGCAGTGAGAGATCTGATCTCGAACCACCTAGGATTAAAAAGACAACAGAGCGGTCCAAGATGGCAGAGGGTAGAAGAGAAGCAAAGTGGACCATTGGAAAGCTTCTTCAAACCAGAATCCATTCCATCCTGGAATGGAACTAAATTTATGAGAATATTTTCTGGGAATGTCTGCTGTGGATAAGGACTCTGGAAGACAGATGTGATAAGATTCTCAAAGGAAATTGGTAACTGGATCCATCAGAAGGGAAGGCAGGTAGATTTTAGAACCCTAGATCTGGTGACCTTGGTGCATCAACGAACACCTTCCAAAGGTCCCCCTGCCCTGCGCTTTTCTGTGAAGCTAACTCTCCTGTGCGGTTTGCCGGGGGTCTGTGGAGGAGCTATAGCTCCCCAAGATGTGGCTGCAGCTGTGCTTGGTGACACTGTCCACCTTCAGTGCCCTCTACGTTACTTTTAAAGAGCAGACATCACCATCTGAACCCAATTCCTTTCCCTTCCTGCCCCTCCATGCAGCCAATTGTTCTGCATCTTTTTCCCTGCGCTGTTGGTGGGGGGACTTGGAGGGCCAAGGTGGAGCTTGGGAGAGAGAATGAGCTAATGACAAGCTGGAGAAAGAAGACGGATGCATAATTAAGTTTTAAGAATAACCCACTGAAACCACTGCCTCTTTCGGAGAGCAATTGTAAAGGCTGCTCATTTGCCAAGCTGAGTCTGCTTTAACCTAAATAGGCATCTCTCTGAGCAAGCGGTTTTTGCTTCTAAGAAGCTGTCTGTGCTTAGTGATGAATGCATGACAGTCCTTGAAAAGTTTTCTTCTTCAGAGGCATTTGTCATATGTGTCCGCTGCTCAGTAACCCAAATCTTGAATGCCTATATGGTTTTTTTTTATTTCCAAAGATGGGGTCCTGCCATGTTGCCCAAGCTGGTCTTGAATTCCTGGGCTCAAGCAATCCTCCTACCTTAGCCTCCAAGTAGCTGGGACTACACTGCACCGATCTTTGAATGGTTTTCGAAGTGTAAAATTGAAGAAGGGTTTTCCAGGAGCCATAATTACTCACATCCTCAATATTTATACTACTTTGCAAAAGCCTAAAAATATCTAGTATTTTGGATTGTATGGATAATAGCCAAAAGAGAATCTAATAATAATTATTTAAAAATGTTTTGTTCCTTCTTTTCATTTTTGGTTATAAATTTATTTTCCATTAAAGATTATTTCATCCACTTTCCAAAACAAACAGGAAATAGATGAGAAAAAGCAAATACTCTTATCATTCTAATGTAAAATTTTAAAGTACTTTGACATTTCTTTTTAGTTTTTCTCTGGAACCAGACTTATCGTTGCAGTCATTGTATAGGACAATTTTACCTTCCCTTTCCCCCAATTTAATACTGTATCACAGGCATTTTTCATGTTGCCACCATCAATGGTTACCAAAATATCCCATTGAATGGGTAATCTTAATTTGCTTAATCATTCCTGTTCTCTTATTATTGGACATTTAATTTCTATCTAATATTTTGACAACTCATTCATTCATTATTTCTGATTTTTTTGTTCCTAATGTTTTACTGTGGCAAAATATACACAGCATGACATTTTCCATTGTAACCATTTTCAAGTATGTAATTCTGTGGCATTAAGTACTTTCACGCTATTGTGGAACTATCACCACCATCCATCTCCAGAACTTTTTCATCTTCCCAAATTGAAACTCTGAACCCGTTAAACAACATCCCCATTTCCCCTTCCTCCCAGCCCCTGGCAACCACCATTCTACTTCCTTTCTCTATGAATTTCACTATGCTAAGAACCCCTTACATAAGTGCAATCATATAATATTTGTCCTTTTGTGACTGGCTTATTTCACTTAGCATAATGTCTTTGAGATTCAACCATGTTGTAGCATGTGTCAAAATTTTCATCTTAAGAGCAAATAACACTTCGATGTATGTATACCATATTTTCTTTATCCATTCACCCATTGATGAATATTTTTGGCTACTGTGAATAAAGTTATTATAAACACGAGTGTACAAATATCTTTGTAAATCTCTGCTTTCACTTCTTTGCGGTATTATACCCCGAGGTGGAGTTGCTGGATTGTGTGGTAATGCTACGTTTAAGTTTTTGAAGAATCACCGTACCATTTTCCATGGCAGCTGTACCATTTTAGATTCTCACAGCAATGCACAAGGATTTCAATTTCTCCACATCCTCACCCACACTTATTATTTTCTGATTTTTTAAAAATACAGCCATCGTAAATGTGTAAAGTGGTATCTCATTGTGGTTTCAATTTGCATTTCCCTAATGACTGGTGATGCTGAGCATCTTTTCATATATTTATTGCCCATTTGTGTAGCCTCACTGCTAATCAGGTCTTTGTACATTTTTAAAATTGGGTGTTGTTGTTGTTGAGTTGTAGGAGTTCTTTATATATTCTGGATATCAATCTCTTATCAGATATATGATTTTCAAATATTTCTTACTGTTGCGTGGGTTGCCTTTTCACTGCTTGTGTCCTGTGAGACATAAATATTTCCAACTTACTTATATTTTGTTTCCTTCGCTTTTGGTGTCATATCTGAGAAATCATTGCCAATTCCAGTGTACCAAAGGTTTCCCCCTGTGTTTTCTCCCAAGAGTTTATAGTTTTAGGTTTTGTATTTAGTTCTTTGATCTATTATGAGGTAATTTTTGGATATGGAGTTAAGTAAGTGTCTAATTTCATTTTTTTTTTTTTTTTTGGCATGTGGATATCCAATTTTCCCCACACCACTGATTAAAAACACTGCCTTTTTCCCATTGGCACCCTAGTGAAAAATTATCTGAGCCAGTATGTAAGAGTTTATTTCTGGATTCTATTCTATTACGGTGGGTCTATATATGTGTCTTTAGCCAGCATCCACTATTTTGATTATTGCAGCTTTATAATAAGTTTTGAAGTTAGGAAATGTAAGAACTTCAAGTTTGTCCTTCTTTTTCAAGATTGTTTTGGCTATTTACATCGCCCAATTTTCTGATAGATGATTTGTTACTGCTTTTTAACTTTTAATAATAATTAAAAAGGAAAATAAAATGTAGGATTTAAAAATCTCTTTATTGCCACTGGTGAAAGGAATCAACTTTGATGGAAAGATTATTTTTATGAGTTTTGGGGGGATCAAATTTAAAATTCACTAGTTGATTTATTTTCTTCTGACATCCAGTATGCCTGACAACCACCACCACCATGGTCTGGGCTCAATAAATACAAATTATTTTATTTTTTTATTCAGAAGATAACAGGAAGATTAAGCTTCCATTTCTTGGGGAGGAAAACCCCACAAGTAAAACACTTAAAAATTAAAGAGAGGTGACCTACAGCTAATATGCTATTCCCCTCTGCCGTATGAGGCTGAACTAACTTGTTTCCAGGATGACATTTTTATATTTTGGTAGCCAGTGTATTGGTGCTACTAGGTAGCAGACACCTCCACAGCCATCATTTCATTATCCAAATGATATCTGCCCTTGACTACTGCCCTGGAAGTCTGAATAACAAGGACAGATCGAATCTGAGCACTATAACCCAGAGTCAGTCTGCTTTTGAGATAAAATAGACTGAATGGTGGTGTTTCCTTTCCAGAGAATTCAGTTCAATGATGTATTAATGTACTGAAATAAATACATTACTCAGTCCTTATAAAATTCCATGTTTGCTTCTATAAATTTCCTTATCAAGTATGGTTTATTGGGTGCTGAAGGAGCTATCTGAGTGTTGGGGCTCTCTGCTGACTCTTAAGAAGCTTAATTGTTGCACTGCCAAAGAGCCGGGTTTCAGCAGGGGTTTGCCCTTGGCTCCTGCATTCTATGACTCAAGCTCCTTGGAAGGACTCAATATTCTTGAGTTCCTGGCTCTCAACCCCTCACTCTTGCTACAGTTGATTTTGGTCCACCTTTTTACATTTTAATCAACCATTCACAATGATCACAATAGCCTGTGATAAAATCACTGCTAAAAATTGAACTATGGGGTTCCCAAAGAAGCATTTTGGGTGCCCTGTAATTAACTTAGAGTTCCTGAATTAATTTAGCAAGATTTCCCACATTATAGAAATCAGCCAGATTATCTTAAATCAGATCTTTTAAGAGTATAAATACTTTCTCTCTAGCTGTCTTTATCAACTCTCTTACTTGCTACCTTCTTCAACCTGCGTTATTCATGCCACATTTTGTGATCATTTATTTCTACACTGAGTTTTTCATAGAAAATGATTCCTGGAAGCCAGGCCACCTCACTGTTGTCTTTGAATGACACATTTCTGTGCTTTGGCTCTGACGTGCCAGCGAACCCCTTGGCATCATGTGTGCAGCGGGCTGGATTCAAGAGGTCCTTTTCGCAGGGACAGAGCAAGTTGCAGAAATGACACAAATAGGGCCTGGGAGAACAGTTTTCCTGTTTTCATCTGCACTAAAGCCTAAACCAGCTCCCACAGGACAGTGAATTAATCTGTAGTCCACAGTTTCAGAGAAGGCTTTTAAAATTTTATCAGCAGAGCCACCATCTGTTCTAGATGGCAAATGCCTATTGATCATTTGAACAGTTTTATTTTGTTAAGTGGCAAATTTATAAGGTCATTTCTTGGGTCAGGATATGACACTGATACTTATTTGTTAAAGGAGAGTCTGAAGGACAGTTGTATCCCTTTGAATTCTTGACATTGTCAGTAGCACAGAGCAACCCAGGAGAGAGTATACAACAAGTTTTGTCCTGCCTGTCCACAATTACATTTCCATCACTAACAGACCAATCTCCTTCCTCCAGGCAGTTCATACGACACAACCAGAAGCAAGACCTGAGGTTAATTAAGGGGAATTTCATTCTTAACCCAACCATGACCTTCCTCCACCTCCATTTACCTCTCCGTTTTACATGTGGTTCTTTTAACATTTTTCTTTATTTATCCTTTTTAAATAAATGCTTTTTTCTTTCTTTTCTTTCCTTTCTTTTTTTCTTTTCTTTCTTTCTTTTTTTTTTTTTTGAGATAGGGTCTCACTCTGTCACCCAGGCTGGAGTGCAGTGGCACACTCACAGTTTACCACAGCCTCAACCTCCTGGGCTCAAGTGATCCTCCCACCTCAGTCTCCCTAGTAGCTGGGACTACAGGCACATGCCATCACACCTGACTAATGTGTATATTTTTGGTAGATATGGGGTTTTGCCATGTCATCCAGGCTGCTCTTGGGCTCAAGTGATCCTCTTGCCTTGGCCCCTCAAAGTGTTGGGATTACAGGCGTGAGCCACCGCACCTGGCCAATGCTTTTTCCTATAGTGCTCTCTCTCATCATAGGCTTTGTTGGGATATCACTAATGAACTACAGCCTAAGTAAACATTAACATTCTTTCTCTATTTCAAAAAGTTCTTAAATATAAGCTATGCCTTCCCATTATAGTTTAAAACAATTTCCCCTAAGCATAAGGTAATCCTTTAATCCTTTTTCAGAGTTACGTCAAATTGTGAATGTTACATAAACAAAAATAATTTCTAGATATGTCTTTGGGCTTATCAAGAGAAAGTGGCATATGTAAAGTTTCTGAAGAAAGCATAGATCTCATTAATGGCACAATTTAGTTTAAGTGTTGTCATAAATCCCCTGTGAGGAGCACAGATAGGAAATTTAAGGCTTTCTTCAGCTACAGCAGACCTGGGAAGGATGTTAACACAATGGACAGACCAAGACAAAACACCCGGGGGTCCAGTGTGCTCTGCTGATTGTTGGAATATTGCCCAAGTAGCTCCAAATAAGAGTTAGTAATATTTTTCTTGGAAGCTCAAAAACACTTCTTCCCTCAGTAGCTTTCTGACATTCGCATTAGTTCACTACATTTGGAAAACAGATATTTGGTTCCCAGCATTTTATCAAACCACAGAGTAGGATTAACTATAATTTACATTTCAAACCGTTTTCCTCAAACATGTCCACATCTGCATATGTCTCAGAAGCTGTTTTGTTTTTGTTAGCTCACCAAACTTTGTGAACTATTTTATACAATGATCAATTACGAATTCATGCCACTAAAGAATCTCCCAGGTTCATGGATAATAACACCAGTGTATGGGCTAATTCTAGACTATGGACTATGGTATCATAGAAAACAAGCCCCTGGAAACTTTTCTTCAGTGTATTGAACGAAACCATATTTCCAGTCATTCTCTCTCGATCACAACATAATAGTTAATACACATTAAAGATCGTGCTAAGTGCTTTGCAATACCCTGTGAGGTACCACTTCTAGCCTTATTTTACAGACAGATGAAATAAATTTTTGAGTCAAAGACTTGCTCAAGGTGAGAAACCTAGTAAGTGAGAAAGTGTGTCCTCTCACCCCAGCCTCTATGACACAGAACATGGGCTCTTTACCACTCAGTTCCATCTTACTTCAGAACCAGAACTATTAAATCTGTTCAAGCAATCAGTGCTTTCAGAGAGGGACATGAGTAGATTACAAAGACTGTGTAAATACACACTCACTTTCCAGCATCCTTAGTTTTTTGGATTGCTCTAGGAGAGAGATGCCAGAAAAATACACACACAATTCCTCTCTTTGTCAGCAAAAAGCAGGCCCTCAGAGAACTCAGCCAAAGGGAAGCGGAAGAACATAAGATTACCCCTGCAGGACAGTGAGTGATGGGTTAGCCAACAAAGATAGAAAGAAGTACTGTGCTTGGCAAGTGATGTCTATAAAAGGCCAGTCTTTTCTCACAAACCTGAGTAGCAACAGAAGTGACAAGAAAGGGAAAAGGCAGGGGGAGAGAAGGAGAGCGAGCGAGCCGTGGAGGCCTGAATCAGTGGTCATGACGGTGTGAGTGGCACTGGTGGCTGTTTTTGGAAGCAATGACAGATATAATCAGCTGAAAACAGCAGAGAAACAAATCACTCGTGACAGAAGACAGAACAGCTTTGCTGCTGTGGGGGATAGCCAGCCACCTGTCTCTGGTTTCTGCAGTCCTTTGAGGTCTGGGCAGGAAACTCCAGCCTGGGCAGGGTGGAATGAGGGCAGGCAGCTGCCTCTGCTCAGCAGCCCCCAAATGCATCCGCATGCCCTGCCGGGGCAGCCCAGCCAGTACAGATGGACCATCAGAGGAGGGAAGAGGACATAGTCACGCGATGTGGCATCCCAGGGATGCGTGAAAGCCATTCCTGGGCAATGACATCTGCAGCTACAGCACAGTCCTTAACTGATTTTCTCACAGTCCTGTTCTGCAGAGGCAGCACGGAGCAGGAGGGCAAAGGGGGCTTCTCATGCCTTCTGCCATTCTTTGATAGGGATAAGTGATGCATTCTCAATCGTCAAAAAATTCCCCCTTCCCTCCAGATTGCTGCCTTTATGTCTCTCCCATACAGAAAAACTGGAGTTGCCCTACCATCACCATGGGACTGTCACAAACTGTTCACCATATTCTTTTAAAAAGTGCCGGGAAGTGTTTTCAATGTTTCAAAAAAGACATTTCCATTAAGAAAAAAGTTAAAATGTTACGGCTAGGTACTTAAATAGTTGGTCCACTATGTAGTGGGGCAAACTGTTCAGTTTCATTTCCCAAAGACATTTGTGGTTTTATTTTATACAGTTCTATGTGATTCAAATGATATTTTGAGGGCTGCTATAACAATAAAAGTTCGGGTTTCTGAAGGGTGCTCAAATTGAAGGGCTACAGTGACAGTTTTTTTAGCCATGTTAGGCCAGGTGCTGGATACAGAAAATATCCATTGGTCCTCAGGCCTAACCGGATGGACCAAGACCACAGTGCACATGTGCTAATCACCCTCTTCTTCCCTGACAGCTTTGCCGATTCCTGCAGGTAGGAATGTAAGTGGTCATTAACACACACTTCCTATAATTTGGACTGCTCAGGTGCCAGCTCTTGTCACTCTGTGACCATTTTAGCTGCAAGTAATTTTGCCCTGTCACAACTTCTGTGACATTGGGCACCTCTCTCCTGGAAGCCCACTCTCTACCTGTGTTGGGGTCAGCTGTGTGTATAACTTATCTCTTCCATTGAACTGTAAACTCCATAAGGGCAGGACTCCTTCTAAGCCACCTTCATTTCCCTCCCTCCTCCTGCTCCCCTGCCCAGCACTATGAGCATATGGTCAGACCTCATTTCCCCCTTCATCCTAAGCCATGCCAACACTGCACACTACATACCCACCACCCGCCAGTAGCCACTCTGAGGCCTGCTGGCCACATGTGTGGGCCTCAGCTGATTGTCTACTGCTGGACCCCTTCTGATTTGCTCTCTCATCCACTCATCCTTCCTCTCACATCTTGTTGCCCTGCACCAATGGGGTGATAGATGGAATATCAGACATCTCCTAGAGGATCAGTCCTGCCAATAGGGTCCCATTCTTATAGCCAATTGATTCCACTGTGTCATGACAAAATTCTGTGCAGCTTCCAACTGTAAAGTTCACTAGAGAAGTTAAGACAAATCATGTTGATTTTCTAGAAAGTACAGATTCTATTTCTCAATTCAAAAGTACATTTTTGCCTCTGTACGGTCACTCTATCTAAAATTTCCACCCCCATCCCCAGTACTCACTATCCTCTTATTCTACTTTTAAAATTTTTCTTAGCACTTTTTTACTAACGTACTCCACATTTTACTTACTTATTGCTATGGTTTGAATATATCCTCCAAAACCCATGTTGAAATTTAATTGCCATTATAAAAGTATTAAGAGGTAGAGCCTTTAAGGAGTGATTAGGACATGAGGCCCCTGCCTTCATGAATGGATGAATGCTATTATCTTGGGGGAGGGTTAATTATCATGGGAGTGGGCTCCCACTTAAAGGTTGAAGTTTGGCCCTTATTCTCTGTTTCCCATGCTCACCTGTCCTTCTGCCTTATGCCATGGGATGATGCAGCATGAAGGTCCTTACCAGAAGCCAACACCATGCTTTTGGACTTCCCAGCCTCCGGAACCAAGAGCTAAATATAATTCAATTATTTATAATCACCCAGTCTGTGGGATTCTGTTATACCAACATAAAATGGAGGAAGACACTTATTTATTATTTATCCCTCCTGATAGAATGTAAGTTGCATAAAGGCAAGAATTTTGATTTATTTATTATTCCTATGTCCACAGCAGTTCCTGGCCGAGAAAAGTCACTCAACAAACATTATTTGGGTAAATGAAGGAGTAGGTAGTGAATGAAGGGATGTGTCTGCTCCTTTCTGGCCAGACCACTGGCTACCCAAGGCTGTGGGCATCCTCTTCTCCTGTCCATGGGAAGGAATTCTCCCAGCCTGTCCATCATGCCTCCCGGGAGCCTGGCTTGTTGGCTTTATGCTCTTCCCATGATGCAGTACTTACCTTCAGCTTGTGCTCATGCTCCTTGTTGACGCGGGCCAGCAGCTGGGCTTTTCTTCTGTTGAGGGCATCGATGAGGGCATCGCATTGGGCCACCAGACAGGCTTCAAACTCCACACTGTTCTCCTGTGTAATAGAGCACATTTCTCAACTGCAAGGTGCTGGGTGTCTCAGGTTGCCAGAGAAAACAGAGCTCCCCCATCCTGCTGAAGGGAATGAAAAGGAACTCTGTCCACAATGCACATTTGGTAATTTTTAAAAAAATAACTGGATAAACTTTATTCTACACTGGTCATGTTTTGCTTTAAATTTAGATTAAAAGGATAAATATTTATTGCTTAAATTTATCAAAAGGAAATCATCTCCACAATTTGAATTATATTAAGTAAAACAAAGCTTTAGTTTACAGAGTTGTGTATGAATGCTTTTGAAGGCCACATATGTCCAGCTACGTATGGTGGAAGCTGGCATTCAAAAAGGCAATGAGGAGGGAGTGGGGCATTGCTGAGGTATGAGAAATCATTAAATGCAAAGGAATAAAGAAGAAAAAGGATGGCACTGGTATTCAATGTTAACAATAATCCAATGAGAACAGAAGTTTATAAGATACAACAATAACGGGTAAAAGTACTTGCCCCTTTCATTAAGGAAAGCAAATAGTAGGCAGACAAAAACAATCAATGTGTGTAACAGGGATCACCCTGCCATAAAAATCAGATATGACCCAACACCTTGCAGGGGAAAGGCAACTTCATGCTAAATGAATTATAGCTTCCCTTTGATGTTTAAATTAAATGCTGGATATAACATTTTTATTTGATTTAAATCTGTACATGCCATAAACATTTATTTCAAGCAATTCTTTCAATGAGTTATACTCTGTTATTAAGGATAAGCCTTTCAATGAGTAACATATGCAATTGTGATTCTTAAACCATAATCTGAAAAAAAAGTAATTTACAGTAAATGAAAGCTAAATACTCACATATACATTAGTAGTACTTAAAAAGCACCACCCAGTTGAGGAAACTGTAAACTTTTGGGGGCTGGCAAGGAAGGCACAATTTTAATTTATTTAAGGCACAAATTTTAATTTATTACCAAAGTCATAAAGAACTGTGTCTCTTTATGTAATAATCAACTGGTAGGCATTTAGTAATTGTTTTCAAATGCAAGGTCTTTGTATAAGGAATGTGTTAGTAATTGCTTGAGCAATGCTAAATTTTGGCTTTCAAGGCAATTGCTTTTGAACTCTCAGAGAAGGCCCTTGGAAAACATCATTTAAGAGCTCTCTGTGCCACATGAAGGGTAATATTGTAGGGTGGGGTGAGGGCAAACCTTCCCCTTGTAAGCTCTGTCACTGATTTAGAGCAGAAAGAAAGCTTTGCTCTGATGAAGAGGCCCGGGCAGAAGCAAGCCTGGGGCTGCACATTTTATGCCAGCAGAGTAAAGAAAGAACTGATTGATAAACTCTATTGCTTTGGAAAACAGAAGGAAGTATACAAAACTGCTAGGCTGTTAGGGAATCAAAAGTTTAACATAGGCATGTGTGCCAAAAAAAGGCAAAGAAATTAGTGTGTAATTCTTTGAAAGGGTGGCTTACATTTAAAAATCCATTTCTGCCTTGACATGGTTAAATATGAACTTAGTCAACTTACTGGAGGCCAGGTTATTTCTGTGAGACAAACCTCAAAACATAAGAATGCTAAACAGTACACAGGGTCATTATTTTAGTGTTTCATACAGTCTATGGTTTTTCTCCTTCAGCTATAGTGGAGAATTTATGAGCTCTTAAATGCTGGTTGAACTGCTGGTCATTGTGTCTAGATAAAGCAATCTGAAATTGGAGTTGCCAGGGGATCGTGGTTGAAAAATATTTAAATGTCTAAGCAGAGGAGAAGCATTATTGTGTGTCAGGGAAGAAGAAAAGAAGAAAGAAAGGCAGAAAGGGAGGAAGAAAAAAAGAGGAAGAAGGAACAAGGGACGAATGAAAAAGAAAACAAAGGAAGGCAGGAAGGAAATAAAGGAAGGAAGAAAAAAAGAGAAAACCGTGACCTGTTACCATTAAATGATACAATTATTACAAGGTGTTTTGGAAACCTACAGGGCTTTACCAACTCAGCAATAAGGATCCTGAATTTACAAAGAAACAGGCCTCTTTCTGAATATTCAGTAGTAGAGAATTAGGACCTCAGTGTGGAAGACAGGAACCAGTTGGAAAATCAGGCTGTGTTTCCGGCTTGTTGGCAAAAAGCAACTACCTTAAGAAGGGGTATCTTTGAAGCTGATCTCTGTGTGTGTTTGTATGTAAAGAACAACAACAACAACAAAGTAGGAATTTTCCCACAACACATAAAAGTCAAAGAGGAGAAGGAGACTCTCCCGCCACACAGTTACGTATTAACCCACGGGTTTCCTTGTGTCCCAGGTAACACCCGTACCTGGATCTGCTGGACCATGTTGCGGAGTTGTACCAGAAACTCCTTGGCTTCTTTGGCCCTGTCTGACAGTCCGTTCAGCGCCTGGGAGAGCTGGCTCTGCAAAGACAAAGAAGGAAGCCATGAAGCTATAATCACAGGAAGCAGCAACAAGGCCACACAGGTGTTTTCAGTGAGACTCAAAACTGGGGAGTCATCAACCTCCTCAGATTCCTCTTGTCTGAGGTTAGACCTTTTTGCTGGCATTTGTACGGGTAGATTCTGGTGTCCAAACTCCCTGGGCTCCTGAGTAGTTTCTCCTTGGAAGCAGTGAACACTTCTGGCCACAGCAGTCAAAGGCCCTCACCAGCCAATATCAACCTAGAATTTCTTCATCTCCTTCACTGATTAACTAAGCAATCATTTATTGAATACATATTATTTGCTAAGGACTAAAAAAGCAAAACAAAATAGTGAGTCAGATGATCTAATTCTTATCAACGTTATTTAGCACCAAGGGCTGTTGGTCTGGGATTAAGGCAGAAAGAATGAAGAGAGTCAATAACAGGATGAAGGAAGGGGTAGGTATTGGTGTGATCCTCTGTGACCACTTAAATATAATCACAAATTCAAAGGGCAGGACGACATTCCACTCCCGCCTCATCCATGTCCTCTTCCTTCTCCCAAGTACAGCCCTGCTGCCCTAGCACATTTGTGTCCTTTCCACACTAGCCTCCTACACCAAGGCTTACTCTCTTTCTTTCTTCCCACACCACCCCATCCATATGAGGAGGCAGTTCTGCTGGGTTGGCAAGGTGTCCAGGTAGGTACTTGCTCTTCCAGCCTCCTCGTCTGCTGGGGTGGCCGTGGTACACAATCCTGATGGACGAGACCTCAGTGGAAGTCTGCTGGGGACTGAAGGGGTCTGGGAAAGCTTTTGTGTTTCTGCTGATATGGAACCACTGTGATTGATGCAGCCTCTCCCCTGTGGTTCCTGACTTTAGGATGGATGTGATGTCTTCTGGCTCACATGAGGAGAAGGCCAACAGGGTATGGGTGGAGGGATGGGAGGGGAAGGAGCCGGGTTCTGACGGCATCTTTGAGCAGCTGAGCCAGCACCTGAAACCTTCACCACTAGCTTTCTTGTTATGCGAGAACAATTAACTCCTATTTAAGTCACTGTTCTGGAGTTTTCTATTGCTAGCAGGAATTTATATCAAGTATCACTGTACTTGATACAAATTTCTTCCACTTCTAGCAGTCTGGGTCTACCCTTCTGTACCTCAGGTACAGAGACAGACTCCCTTTCCTGCACTGCCTTCTTTGCAAACTAAAGCCTATTCTCCTTGCCAACACAATGATTCATCTACCCTTTCCTTTCTGTAAAAGGACGGAACCTTAAAATTATATCTCTTAGTGCTGTGAATGCTTTTCTCTTATATTTGTCTTTTAAATACAAAGTTGGACACTGACTGTCTAAAAATATGCACACCAAATGCTTGGTTGAGGCAATGTAGGATGGTAGAAAGAACATAGGCTTTGAAAGGTTGCAGATTCTTGCTCTATCCCCTACTAAGTGTGACCTTGAGAAAGTTACCTTTGTCTGAATTACTCCAATGGAAAAGATGGAAAGAATAGTAATACTTTGTAGTTGGGTTATGGTAAGGGTTGAATGCATTAATCAATGTGAAAGCTCCTGCTAGTTAAAGGAATAATTCTGAATTCAGAAATGCCGCCAGTTACTGGCTGTTCAACCCTTTATACATAGTTTTACCTCATCCATAAAATGAGAGGAAGAGTACTATTCTTGGGTTTTGTGGGCATTGCATAAGATACTATATCTAAAGCCCAGAACCCTACTACCCTACTGGTGCACAGTGCATGATGCTTGCTGATTGTTAACTTTTTTTTTTTTTTTTTTTTTTGAGACAGAGCCTCACTCTCTCACCCAGGCTGAAGTGCAATTGTGCGATCTTGGCTCACTGCAATCTCTGCCTCCCGGGTTCAGGCAATTCTCCTGCCTCAGCCTCCTGAATAGCTGGGATTACAGCAGTGCACCACCACACTGAGTGAATTTTTGTATTTTTAGTAGAGATGGGGTTTCTCCATGTTGGCCAGGCTGGTCTCGAACTCCTGACCTCAAGTGATCCGCCTATCTCGACCTCCCAAAGTGCTGGGATTACAGGTGTGAACCACCGCGCCTGACCAGCTGTTAACTCTTATTTGCTTTCTTCATTCTTGCTCACACAAACACCTGCTGACTGGGGGGATTCGCAGGACAGATTCCTGGAACATGGTCTGTTGGAGAACATTTTTGATCACCTGTACTTGGCTCTGTGTATTCAGGCTCCAAGAGGCAAGACCAACACAACTAAGATAAAGCTCAAAGTGAGCCTACAGCTGCAAAATTCTTTATGATTGGGTCTCAGCTACAACACTATTTGGAGTAAAAGTATCTCCTCAATAACTATTAATATTTCCAGGAGCCCAAGGGATAAAAGAGGGAAAATGGGTCTCATTTGGAAGAGCAAGCAATAACATGAGATACATATTTTAAAGAAAAAATTTTTTTTCATTGTTACTTTAGAACTCATATCTTTTTTTTCCTGAATGAGTAAAAGTTTGCTGGACTACCATAGTTTTCTTCCTCTTTTTATTATAACCTATGTTTAGTAACCACACTTAGATGTTTCAGTACAGAAGCAAAATTGACTTGGTTACACAGAAGCAAGGCTGCCTGGCATCTTGTATTCCAACCTTGCAATTAATTGTGTCTGTATAAGTCACACTTGATACCCATAAAGATTTTTTGACCAGATGCTGCTGTATACTTAGAAATACAATTATTCCTAGTAGTAGACAAAGAGTTCTGGTCCCATTTAGTCCCAGGATTTTATATGACAAAGCAATAAGTGAACTGCAAGAATCAATTTATTTCCAATTTCCTCTTTGTGTTTATGTTCAGTCCCAAGAATGCCTTCTACCTGGCTGTTGATTGTTCTGGTATTTGATAAACAATTGCATTATAAGATAAAGATCTAGAAATCATTCTCTTAAGCTTTGTCCACTTGTAGAAACTGAGGAGACAATGAAAAATCCTGGAAGACTATCAGTAGAAAGTGCTCTTATTGTAAGGATTTATATGCACATTGTTTTTATAGGATGGTGTTTTGATCACATTTATAAGCTCCATCTGATGTAGAAGAACATTATTATTGACTGATTTTGTTTCCCAGATGCATTTAAATTCCTACTCTGTGCTAACAAAGATGTTCTGCATTCAGGACCACAGAGCAGCGCTGGAAATTTATGACCAGAACAATGAAGATGCAAATATGTAGTACGTGTTTTCATCACGGCATCTTTGGCGGTACAAGCAGTCATTTAAGGGAGAAAGGTATAGTTCTAAAGCTGTTTATAATGCCTAAGCAGTGACATTCAGATGTCTTGGATATTCGTTTTCTAGGTACTGAAAAGGTGTCACGATCTGCAGGTGAGTGAGAAGAGAAAAATGACGCAGCTGAAGCCCTGATCTCGTCAAGTTGTTCTCGGCTGGGAGCATGCTGAGTATCACCGAGGTCTCCCAGAAAGATGACAAGTTGTTCAAGCCTGAAGGAGAGAAACAAAGAACTCTGCCTCCTCCTTCCCTCCTCGTGTGGCTTTCACTCTCAGCTTCCACCCTGACCCTGGCTCCCCTTGCCTCCCCAGGAGGGAGAGATCAGGCATTTACCCTGGGAGAGACTGTGGAGGACGTTTCAGGACCTACTTCTCACTCTCAGCAAATGGGTAATGCAATTCAATCCATCCCGCCCAACGCCTCACTTGCCCAAGCTGCTGAGCATGCCCAGGCAGAAGACAGTGTCTTCTTTCCATTTCCCACTGTAAACACTCTTCACCTGGCCTTTTCCCCTCAATTCACCACGAATATTGGATAGAGATAAACTGGGACAAATGAAAAGAAGCTTTCTGGCTGTCTGGGATCTGAAGTTACAGGCTCAGGGTGGGTCAAAAAGGGTCACTCGAAGAGTTGGTACAAAACAGATGAGGCGGCAAACAAGCACCGGCAGCTTGATGGCCCAGAAAACGACCCAGCTGTCTCCCTGGGCGTGGAGCACCTTCTGGTGCTGTATCACAGTGCATGCCATTCAGGCACCACAACACCGCTGGGCCCAGGAGCCAAAGCCCACTCCCGCTCCTTCCCAGGTTCAAAGGTAAACACAACACTCACGAAAACAGTGACCATTGATGTAGTGGGACTTTGAGGGAAGGCTGCCCAGGAGAATAACAGTTTTTCTAATGAAATATTGATCTCTGAGTCACATTACTCAGTGATTACTCATTGCCGGTTACTCAGTACATTACTGACATGGCACAATTAAAAAGTGTAAGAAAGAAATTCTAATAATTCTAATGCATTGGTCATTTCTTATGAGCCAGGAACTCTGATGAGTGCTTTCAGTGCAATCCCAATCACCTCCCTGCCATTTTGCAGAGGTGCCAAGAGGATACCCCTGAGTGAAGGTTTCACCATTCACTTACAGAACAGCTGGAACACAAACCCTCATGTGATGGCAAACTCATGCTCTTTGCTCCAGCCTTCAAAAAAAAGAGAATTCTCTCACCCTCACAGGCCAAAACAATTGTTTAATTGTTTAATCCATGGTGAGAGCATGTACAACCAGAGAAGGTGAGTGGATGACTATGATTGATTATGAGGGGGTCTGATTATGCTTAGCAGCCAGATAGTATGTACATTACAGCATGACTAGTTAACCTATGAAACATTCAACTTTTTTCCTGCATGAAGTTTTCTGGTGAATTTGAAAAAGTCCCCTGACTGAGAGAGGAGTCTCACGGAGAAGGGAAAAAGCTTTGAATTCAGGTCCACTGCCAACTTTTTCAACTACTGGCCTAAGATCTTGGGCAGAAATTGGGTGAAGTGGGAATGAAGTAAAGGAAGGAGACCTCACAGAGTGACTGGTACTTAGGGAACCATCAAGCTGAGCTACCCAAGGGGCCTGATTCCCCTTCTAGGAAAAATTTCTATTTCTTCTGCCTGCACCTTTAGTGCCTGCAAGAATGGATCCCTTCTCTGCTTTCTCTGGTGCTGGAAGATCCTG